AACTGGTCTACTCTGGCCTCAAATCGGGAGGCCTGGAGACACACCATCTATAACGCAGCTGTCTCCTTTGAGAACTCACGCAGGATCACTCTCGAGGAGAAAAGGCAACGCAGAAAGAACCGTGTACTGCAGAATACACCATCTAAGGAGTCTTTCTGCTGTGCCTTTTGCAATCGGATATGTCTGTCATGTATTGGCCTCATAAGCCACCAGCGTGCCTGTAACAAATGTGGATAGAAGAGCCTTCCCAAATCTTCGTTCGCGAAGCCTAGTCATGATAGCAGATTATAGTTGTCATCAAGGAAACCCAAAGTTGAAAGCCTTCCCAGACTGAGGGAAGTCCAACACTCAGGTTTCACAGTGAGTAACCTTATTAACACATACAATTTGAAAGAGAGAGTGATTATCCTCTGTTATTCAAGTTATCAAGTCATTACAGAGCAATATGCACTTAGAAAATGAAAAAAAAAGCAAAATCACTAGGTTCTGGTCTCTATTCCTAGAATCCTTAGATTGGAACATGATGAGATGGGTCTGAGAACTGAGTTTGTTCAGCTTATGAAGAGAATGCAAAGGGAAGACCTTGCAGCACTCTTCAACTGAACGTAAAGGCATAGTGAAGATAAAGCATAGCTCCTCTCAGAGATGCAGAGAAATAGGATAACAGAAAATGGAATACAGTTGGAATATGGGAAATTTCTGGCAAGGAAAATGTGAAGTTTCTGGTTTGTTTTTTTGTGTTTCCCTCCTCCTCTAAATAGTGAGGGTGATCAAACACCAGAGCAGGTTACATAACAGGAGCTGTGGAGTTTCCATCCTTGCAGATAAACAAAATCTGGCTAAGCAAGTCCAGAGCAACCTGCTGTAGTTGGAAAAGCTCTGAACAGGAATCTAGGCCAGATGAACTCTTCCCACCCTATGACTACAGGGCCTCTTTCCTTTGAAAAACTATTTAATGAGATGCAGAAGTAGCACTATTAGGAAGGAACAGAACTCAGTCCCTTTCTCACTAGAGTTCAGTCAAACTTCTCTTGCCACTTTCTCCAGCCCACAGATCTTGTCTTCCTTTCTGAACAGGACATCAGCTCTGTCCATGAACAAGAAGTATTCCATGAAAGACACCTTCAGTTGCATAGTTAAGGAACCTCTGGAAAGCTGGAACTTTGGGTTTTCATACTTTCATGTTGAGTCCAAGTTTATGAATCTTGACCTCTGGGGTGAACTGGAAAGCTAAATAATGTGGCTATGGCCACCTTCTCTTCTCAAGGCTTACTTTCAAAACAAGGTTAACTCATTAAAGAAGAGGTAGCTACTTGTAAAGCCTTAAATAAGGCATATTTTGAGACAGCTTTTCCAGTTGACTGGCTTTAAAAAGACAAGTGCCTGGAGTCCTCCTCCAATGAAAGACAGTTTCCCTGGAATGATTTAGACACTCTATCAAAAGTCATTTGGAGGTTTTGAATTGTTCTTCAGAAGCACCTCCATTCCTTCACTCACCTTCAAAGACTAAAACAAATAACAAGCTTAAGCAATGAGAACCACACAGCTAGTGTGTAGAACTATGCACTGCACACTTTGGCTTTAAGTGATTTCTACAAGGGAAGACTGTGGCAGAACAGCAAATACTGGATTAACTTTTCTCCTACTGCCAGTGAGCCTAAAGGAGAGCAACAATGATTCAAGTTATAGCATGATTTATGTACAAGCAATAGTAAGTAGCAACTAACTTCAGCATGAAAATAAAAGGACATGTGATAAGTTATTTATGAAAACACAGATCATAATCAGAAAACAAGAGCAAAGAAATCACTGTCAAGACTTTATCACTCCATGAGAGTTGTATATTAACTTGGAGAGCCAGCTCGGCTAACAAAACTAAGCAGGAATTTTGTTATCACAGGTTCACTACTATTACAGCACAACTTTACTACAACAAAATTAAAATGTATTTTTCAGACATGAATACATACACAGTTCTTTTGCTCTAAAACCACCATTTCAACATTCTGCATCGAAAAGCAATGATGTAATGAACATTAAAGAAGTGGGCCACTTCCACTACACTCAGAATAAATGGGAACTCAGAGTCAACATCAGGATTTCTATTTTGGGAAAGGGAAGTTTTGGTGTAGTCTGTTCCTGCTAAGGAGAGAACTCCAAGTCTTAGTATTAAGTTAGTATTCCTCCAATACATGTAAGATAGTAAAGACACAAAGCAAATGTTCCAGAAAAAACCTCAATGTCTCAGAATTCTGAAAATTATTGAAGAAACATAAGAAAGTAATCTCAAGATACTGTATCAAGATAATGTATCTTTGTCAATCCCAATATATGAAGACCTGAAAATAAAAGAACCAGTCATCTCTGCTTTGTAAACAAAGCTAGACACAAGTGCATTCACGTATTTTTCAAAACTTTTATGTGATCGTCATTAGACTAGTCAACATTTCAAGGAAGAAATTATTCAAATTAAATTATCCAATAAATGGTCACCACTGCCTTTTCCTACTACTGTATACTCAGTAAATGTTCTTCTTTCTCACTGATGTTAAGTATGAAAAGTTTGAAACAACTGTTTTTTTACAAAGATCCTGGCCAAACACAGTCATAAACGAGCAGTTATGCAAAACAAAATTTGTTGATGGAGAAATATCTTTTATTAGACCGGCTGATACATCTGGAAAAAACAATCAAAAAATCCACCCTCAAACCAAAAAGTTAACCTTCCCACATTCCCAATTCCCTTGAAGAAAGGTAATTAGGAATAAAATGAAAACTTTTACTCAAGTTGCTCTGGACAATGAAGTTCTGGGTTTGAACCTGAAAAAGACCTTTGGCACTCTAAGCCTGTGTGTATCCCACACCCCAATTACACCAGCTGATACAAGCTGTCTCTACAATCACTTCGCAAACATCTTCAGATCAGCGTGGTTAAAACAGCACATGCCACGCTACCATTACCACACTAAATCATTACCTGCATCGAGGTATTTACTTAAAGATTCATCAAGAGGAGGTACTGGCAGGGATGGCAGAGAATCTTGGTACTGAAACGTCCGCTCCTCTGTGGATTCAAGCACTTGCTTTTCCATGATGCAGATCTGCGGCAAAACCAAACAGAATCAAAGTTCGATGACAAATCTCCCCCGCTCCGGCCTCCCGCCATTTAGACGATAAAAGACATATCAGGAAACACCCCTCGACAAAGCCTGGACCGAGGACTTCTTGTTGGCTTGCAGCCACGAGAGGCGCACACATAACAGGGGGAAACGATGCCCAGGCGGCTATTGATGCTCAGCATGTCGCGATTAACCAGCTCGAGGACTGTCGCTTTCTTTCCCGAGGAGAAGCCAGTCAGCCCTGGGACACCCGCCCGAGACCGGAGGACAACTGGGGAAGGTGGAATCACTCTCCCGGCCCGGCTGGCGGCCCCAGCTCGCCGCCCCCGCAGACCCTCCCCGAGGCCCCCCGGCCCTGCCCCCCGACCCCGCGCTCCCCGGGGCGGGCCGAGCAGGGCGCGGGGCACCGCTGTGCCGCTTACAGCAGCTCAGGGCCCGATCCCAGGAGCTGCCCCGGAGAGCTCCGGACGGACGGGGCCGGGAGTAAGGAGAGATCCGAGCCGAGCCCACCCCTCTGCCCCGCGGCCGCACACCTCCGAGGAAAGAGGCCCGCGGAGGCCACCACTCACCCCGGCCTGGACACGCCCGGCTCGCTGCCAGCCCGGCCCGCCCAGCCCAACCCGCCGCTCTCGCCGCCGCCCTCGCCTCTGCCCCACTTCCCAGCGCGTCCGGAAGCCACGCGGGGCGGGGCGGGCGCAGGGGTGGGAGCAGAGAGCGGCCTGACCGCCTCCTGCGCTCCGGGGCCCTGGGGTGGGGTGTGAATAAAAGAACAATTTTAAGTTGGCAGGAGCTGTTGACTTCCTCGAAGGAAGGGAGGCCCTGCAGAGAGACCTCGACAAATCGGAGGGTTGGGCAGTCTGCAACCGTGTGAAGCTTAACATGGGCAAGTGCCGGATTCTGCACCTGGGATGAGGAAACCCTGGTTCTGAGTATAGACTGGGGAACGAGAGGCTGGAGACCTGGGGATCCTGGTCGATGGCAAGTTGAACGTGAGTCAGCAGTGCCCTGGCAGCCAGGAGGGTCACCCGTGTCCTGAGGGCATCAGGTAAAGCATCGCCAGCCGGTCAAGGGAGGGGATTGTCCTGCTCTGCTCTGCACTGGTGCGGCCTCACCTTGAATACTGTGTGTGCAGTTTTGGGCACGACAATATAAGAAAGATATTAAGCTGTTAGAGAGTGCCCAAATGAAGATGATGAAGGGCCTTGAGGGGAAGCCGTATGAGCAGCGGCTGAGGTCACTTGGTTTGTTCAGCCTGGAGAAGAGGAGACTGAGAGGAGACCTCATTGCAGTTACAACTTCCTTGTAAGGGGAAGAAGAAGGGCAGACACTGATCACTTCTCTGTGGTGACCAGTGACAGGACCTGAGGGAATGGCCTGAAATTGTGTCAGGGGAGGTTTAGGTTGGATCTTAGAAAGAGGTTCTTCACCCAGAGAGTGGTTTGGCACTGGAACAGGTTCCCCAGGGAAGTGGTCACAGCACCAAGCCTGACAGAGTTCAGGAAGCACTTAGACAATGCTCTCAGGCACATGGTATGATTCTTGGGATGGTCCTGTGTAGGGCCAAGAGTTGGACTTCAATGATCCTTGTGGGTCCCTTCCAACTCAGGATATTCTATGATTCTGTGACATGTGGGGAAAGCACAGCTGGGGCTGTGCTGAGTTCATGGGCTCTTCCCAGCTGCTGTCCCTCATGTGCTCTGCTCTTGAGTCCAGTGGCATCCTTAGCTGGACTAAGCCCAGCTGCAAGCCCTGGCTGGCCCTGGGGGGCTCCTCGCCCAGGGTAGGTGGCCCAACTGCTTTGTGGGTGGGCAGTAGCTCAGGAATCTGCAAGGGTGTTTCTGTGGAGCAGGTCTGGGCTAGACTGATGGGTTTCTGTGCCACCTTTTAAAATGTTGTGTGGGAGAGAGGCTTGTGGGGTGTGACTTGCAGATTCATGGGAGTAGGATTAAGCAGAAACCACCAGCAGTGAGAGTGGGTGGCATTTGGAGCAGTTGTCACATCACGGAGCAAATATTTCACCACATGGTGAAGCACCACTTATGCTGGGAAAGACATGTGAGGCCCACACAGTCCTACTTCCCATGGTTAATGAGGTGTCTGCTTTCAGAGACGCCTGCCCAGTACTGCTCTTGGGCTCACTGAAGGGGTCTCTGACACTTGCATGTGTACATGGGTGGTTTGTGCTGAAAAGCTATGGCTCAGCCTAGATCCAGAAATTAAATATTTTCTGTGACATAACCTGTGATGCTCAGAACAAAAGTCATCATTGTCACTCAGAGCTAATGTGCACAAGGCTTTGTTGCTTGACTTCTTTCCTCTTTCCATCTGCAGCAGTGGCACCTTCAGTTTGCTTCTGTTACTACATACCTTTGCTGCCAAAATGACTTCCCATTGCCTACTGTTGTGGCTTAACCCTAGCCAGCAGCCAAGCACCACACAGCTGCTCATTCAATTTCCCACCAGTGGAATCAGGGAGAGAATCAGATGAAGTTAGAAAACTTATGGGCTGAGATAAAGACACTTTAATAAGGAAAGCAAAAGCTGCACACACAGGCAAAGCAAAACAAAGAATTAATTCACTGCTTCCCATGGGCAGGCAGGTGTTCAGCCATCCCCAGGAAAGCAGGGCTCTGTCACCCATAACATTTACTTGGGAAAACAAATGCCATCACTCAAAATGCCCCCCCTTCCATCTTCTTCCCTTCCACTTTATGTACTGAGCATGATGTCATATGGTATGAAATATCCCTTTGATCAAGTGGCGTCACCTGTCCTGGCTGTGCCTCCTCCCAACTTCCCACACACTCTCAGCTTCCTTACCAGTGTGGCAGTACATAAAGCAGAAAAGGCCTTGGCTCTGTGGAATCCCTGCTCAGCATCTCTATATTATCAGCCCGGTGTTCAGCACAAATCCAAACCACAGCCCTATACTAGCCACTGTGAAGAAAATTAACTCTACCCAAGCCAAAACCAGCACACCTATCTCACTCTTCTTTTCTAGGCCACTTTGTTCTGTCATCTCTTGCTATGTGCAGTTATATGTAAAGGAGTTACTTTGTGGTTATTACACACAACAGATAGTCAAGATTAATGCCCTACTAAAGGAGTATTAGTATGTTAACCACCTATGGAGTCTTTGCTAGTCAGATGGAAAAGGGTAAGCTTTCACTGCTCCCTGTGGCACATGCTTGATCACGGAGTCATAGAATCATTAAAATTGGAAAAGACCTCCAAGATAATCAAGTCCAGCCTTTGACCGAATACCACCATGCCCACTAGACTGTATCATAAAGTGCCACATCTGCTTATTTTTTGAAGACTTCCAGAGATGGTGATTCTACCACTTCCCTGGGAGCCTCTTCCAATGCTTAACCACCCTTTCAGTGAAGAAATTTTTCCTAATGTCCAACCTGAACCTCCCTTGTGCAACTTGAGGCAGTGTCCTCTTGTCCTATTGCTCGTTACTTGGGAGAAGAGACTGACCCCCACCTTGTACAGCCTCCTTTCAGGTAGTTGCAGAAAGTGATAAGGTCCCTCCTGAGCCTTCTTTTTTCCAAGCTAAACAACCTCAGTACCATCGGACGCTCCTCATAGGACTTATGTTCCAGATCCTTCACCAGCTTCATTGCCATTCTCTGGACTCACTCCAGCACCTCAATGTCTTTCCTCTAGTGAGGGGCCCAAAACTGAACCCAGTATTTGAGTTGTGGCCTCACAAGTACTGAGAACAGAGCTATGATCCCTTCCCTAGTCCTGCTGGCCACACTATGTCTGATACAAGCCAGGTTGCCATTGGCCCTTTTGGACACCTGGGCACACTGCTGGCTCGTATTCAGCTGGCTGTTGATGAGCAACTCCAGGTCCTTTTCCATCGGGCAGCTTTCCAGCCACTCTTCCCAAAGCCTGTAGCGGTCCATGGGGTTGTTGTGACCCAGGGATGGGACTCAGCACTTTGCCGTATTGAACTTCACACCACTGGCCTCAGCCCATTGATCCAGCCTGTCCAGATCCCACCCTCCAGCAGATTGACAGTCCCACTCAACTGTGAAATTACTGAAGGTGCATTCGATCCCCTCATCCAGATTGTCTTCCACCTAATTTTTTCCCTTGAGATGTTAATCATCTTTCCACATTGATGTTCTTCCTCTTGAGCTTCTTGCCTGGCCCAATCTCAGCATCCTTTATCTCCAATTTTATCTCTCTTATATTTCATGGCTCGACTCTGTGGACTTCTTCATAGAGCTTTCTCTCAATTTAATGATTTCCTAAAAAATCTGAGCAAAGGTTATGCAATTGTGCCATAGCAGAACCAGGCTGACAGCAGAGACAGTAGGAAAGGAGGGGAGATTATATTGTCACACTCACTTTTGAAGCATCTACATAGTCTGTATGTTTGCAGTTTCAACATCCTGGAAGGTCCGGTTAGTAAAATGGGGAATGCGTGTTGTGTTTTATTTTAATCATTTATTTCAACAGTTTTGTATTACTGATGGTGTGAGCATATCAGCTGCAAGTCTCCCACAAGTAAGCTTCTCTGTAATAATTTTCCACATTTTTTTCAAGCTTAAATAAAGGATGAGTAGACAGCTTTCTGGAGGACAGAATTTCAGTTGGTAATGACTTTTTTTTTTCCAGCAGCAGCTTTTAGATGTTAGCAATGACATTCACCTTTTTGGAATATAATCTGCTAAAAATGTAGCCATGAGTTATATGTTGCTGGGAAAAATATGACCAGTGGAGAAAAAAGTTGAGTATGCTCCTTACTTTTACTTTTTCCATTAATTTATATTGTCTAGATATAATGATGAAAGATTGCCTTTGTCTTTATTTTTCAAAAAGCAAAGACCAGTATTTTCTTGAACTCAGGGGCTACTGGGATATGGTTTCCCACAGAATTTTTTCCTGTGGTTTATTAATTTTGCTGTCTTCTAAGTGGGAAATCACACCATTGCTTCTCGCTGAGTAGAAAAATTTCTAGGGATATAAGTACATAATCCTTAAAAACCTGTAATAAATATTATGATGTATGTAACAGATGTGTTTTCTCTCTAACCTGTAATTTTCCAGAAAGCCTAAGTATATACCCCAAAAATACATATTTTTTAACTTTTTTAAATGATTGTGTGAGTAATGAATGTAACAAAACATGTATGATATAGTAATGTGCAAGGTACTGATAAAGCTGCAGAAATAAAACATTTCCAGTGGTTGAAAAAAATTTCGACAGAAATTCGCAATGTTTAGGAGACTGAGATATACTGATATCCCTCAGCTGCACAAACTGCATTCCTCTTGTGAAGATAAAATCAGTAGAGAATGACATTGCCTAACTGTCCTACAGTCTGCCAGCTCCGTTATTGCAGGATTGCAGATACCAAGTTGTCGATGCCCTGACTTGTTAAGGCTTCTCAGATGCCTGCCTAGCTGTAAGCAATCCAGTGGCTTTGACAGCAGACTCTGTACCTACCAGTGAAGTGGATCATTTCACTCTCAGCTCACTATTCCACTTCTGCAGTTATTGGTGGGAGGTGAACAAATACCTTAAATTCTGTAAGTAGACTTGGTTCTACTTGCCATCTGGGGATATGATTGCTTTTTGCCTGGCTTCCAGAGTCTGCAAACAATGTATGCCTGAATGGGATGGGTCTAGGATGTAGGATTTACAAGTGCCTAGATACTGAGAAGCTTCTCTGGTCCTGGACTGCCCCACTGGCAAATACCACACTCTTGCCATTCACAAAGACTCATTCTACAGATTTCTAGACTGTATGCTATACAATATATTTTCCTTAGGGAAACATCAAAACAGCCCTGTGCTGCAAGCACTTGGTGTTTCTTTACCTTTGGCTTTATGTTCCCTGCAGGATGGGGCTATTGGTCCATTTGTCTTAGCATCTGGTCAGTGCAAAAGTAGTTTTGTTGTCGCTTGTGTTTTCAATTTTACTTCTCAATTAGTACTTGTCCACCTACTATAAAGTGATGCCATGGCAATGAATAAAGCTAATGTAAAAGCTCATGTCTCCAAAAGCATGTTTGAAAAATAATCAGAAATTTCTTTGGTATGCCACATCTGTGTCCATGTTTAGTTCCGCCATATTAGAAGGATGTTGAGATACTGAAGTAAGTGCGGCAGGGTTCCCTGCAATTGTGACTGGGGTGGGTGGTGCACAAGGAGAGTCTGAGATAAAGGGTTTTGTCTTAAGAGGGGAGTGCTAAATGAGGATGTCTTCACCTACCTAATGAAACAGTATGCAGAGGATGGACAGAGCCAGACTCTTCTTGGATGTACTCAGCGAAAAGACAAACGACTTGCAGATACAAGTCACAACAAGGAATTAGAAAGAAAAATATCCTCACTATGAGTGTGATTGAACAGTGGAACATAGTTACCTAGGGAGGTTATGGAGTCTCCATCCTTGGAGATACTCAACACCTAACGAGACAGGACTTTAGAGGTCCCTTTCTACCTAAATTACTCTGTGACTTAACTGGTAGTTCTTAATCTTTTATACAGCTCTTTATAGAACTAGAATTTTATTTTCATTATATTTTAAATATAAAGAGAATAAAAACCAGGAAATACTTTCTTAAAATACAGGTTGGCATTTTTTTTTCTCACACTGAACCATTTCTTTGCCAATAGTTCTAGAAAGAAACATTCTTTTTGACTGTGAACACTCTAAAGCAGATGTCAGCCATTAATTCATCAGATCACACATCTAACTTAAAATTTATAGTTAATAAAATAAAAGCTTGTTTATGCAGAAGAATTCTTATGTATCCTGTCCTCACTGTAGTAGGGTCGGAGGTAGATTTTAGGTTTAAGGCCAATAGGTGGAAGTAGAGGAAAATATAAAGACAATTTAGAAATAATCCATTTTTTTTAAACTGTTGCCTTGTAAAAAATGAGAGAAATAAAAATAGACCTTTTCCTAACCAGATATGTTATTTCAAATAAATCCAGATTCAGCTGAATGTACTCCAAAGAAGACTCATCATGGCTGGGCTCCACGAATGAAGATTTGGGAAGGACTCTATCCACACTTGCTACAAGCGCGCTGGTGGCTAAAAAGGCCAATGCGAGATAGACACGTCCAGTTGCAAAAGGCACAGCAGAAAGACTCCTTAGGTGGTATTGACAGGACATGGTTCTTTCTGCATTGTCTTTTCTCCTCGAGAGTGATCCTGCGTGCGTTCTCAAAAGCATCAGCAGCGTTATAGAGGGTGTGTCTCCAGACCTCCCGATTGGAGGCCAGAATAGACCAGTTATGTTGATCAATATGGCCAAGGCTGAGATGTTGTTTCAGGGAGTCCTTGTATCTTCTCTTCGGGGCTCCTCTCATGCTGCAGCTGGTGGCAAGTTCACCATAAAGCACGATCTTAGGAAGGCGGTGGTCCTTCATCCTGGAGACATGCCCTGCCCAACACAGCTGTGTTCTCAGCAACATGGCCTCAATACTTGTAACTGCTGCTTGTTCTAGAACAGACATATTAATCTGACCAGTGGATGTTTAGGATTGCATGGAGGCAGCATTGATGGAAGCATTCTAAGAGTCGCAGGTGGTGGCAGTAGATGACCCATGATTCAGACCCATATAAAAGAGTAGACAGCACAATGGCTCTGTAAACACTGATCTTTGTACTTTTCTTCAGTTGTTTATTCCACCAAACTCTTTTATGGAGTTTTCCAAAAGCTCTATATGCCTTTGCTAACCTGTTGTCTATCTCTCCGTCAATCTTACCATCGTAGGTAATTAAATTGCTGGACTGATTTGAGCTCTGATTGGCCAATGGTGATATGGGGATGATGGAAGACGTCCCGAAGTGCAGGTTGATAGAAAACTGACTTCCAGCCCAAAAAGCTCAGCAGCGTCTGCAAAGCAGGATGTTAAACGCTGCAGAGCTGCTTCTGTGTGGGCGATGAGGGCAGCATTGTCAATGTAAAGCAGCTCCCGGACAAGATGATTTAAGGTCTTAGTGTGGGCCTTCAGTCGCCTCAGGTTGAAAAGGCTTCCATCAGTACGGTATCGAATGTAGATACCGTCCTGATCATTGAGGTCTGCAGTGGCCCTTTGGAGCATCATGCTGAAAAAGATTGTGAATAGGGTTGGTGCGAGAACGCAGCCTTGTTTCACACCACTGGTTATTACAAAGGGCTCAGAAAGTGCATTGCCATATCTGACCTGGCCGCGCTGATCCTCATGAAGTGAGATGATCATTTTAAGGAACTTGGGGGGACATCCTAAATGTTCCAAAATCTGCCATAGACCTTTTCTGCTCACAGTATCGAAAGCCTTGGTGAGGTCAACAAAGGTTATGTAGAGACCTTTGTTCTGTTCCCTACACTTCTCTTGCAGTTGTCTGAGAACAAATACCATGTCTGTGGTACTCCTGTTGGCTCTGAAACCACAATGGCTTTCAGGTAGAAGTTCTTCTGCTATAGCAGGTATTAGTCTGTTCAAAAGTATTCTTGCCAGGATTTTACCAGCAATGGAGAGCAGAGTAATACCACAGTAATTTGAACAGTCTGATTTATCTCCTTTCTTCTTATACAAGGTGATGATGATTGCATCACGAAGGTCTGATGGTAGTTCACCTAGTTCCCAAGAAGATTATTTATTCATGTAATAATTCTTTCTTCTGTACAGCCTTTTTTTTTTCCTGAATGAATATTAGATCCGATGAATGTATCTTTAAGCCAGTAAGACAGACTCTGCAGGTTCTTTGTTTCAGGAGGAGTTGTAAAATAATTCTTAAGGGCAAATTACTTCATTAGGTTGGCACAGTAGTGTCTTTTACATCCAAACCTTGGGGCTGTATATGTAATATCAGCATGCACCTGTCCATCTGGATTAAGCGGGTCAAAGCTTGCAAAAAGGTCATAAAGGGCTCCTTTCCTTTTCAGCAGGAGGATGGTGAGACTGTATAGGGTCAGCTGACTGATGTTGGTGAAAACCAAACTACAGGATAAGTATTACTTTTCAGCTTGATAAATAATGTGCTCTTACTACAGAGGTATGTAGTTGCTAGTGCTAATAAAAACATGGAGATAAGAATGCTATGCTCTGAGAAGCTGGGAAGGGAGAGATGATCTCCTTCATTATCAGCAAGATTAGACAAAGCTGATAACAAATCTGCATCTAAGTTACGTTTTTGTCTTAGGTTACTGTCTGAACTGCAGAATTTCTCCGCACCCCATACTTGCCTTCCCCACAAGAGCTTTCTTTGCAGCAAAGGCAATAATCGATTTGGAATATGGTTTTACTCCTGTTGTCATCAAATACTCCTGTAGGTCATGCTATGACTAAGAAATCTGGCCCCGTTACTGATTTTTGACAGGATTCTTTTATTTGTTTCCATTCCTTATTAGCATATTTCTGCTTGTGTGAGATAAAAAACCACCTGGAATGGTTTTCCTGGAGTCCTTGCTGCTTAATTTCCTCTTCTGATGGGGAGCCAGTAGGTGTGGACACAGGAATTGAGTTCCAGCTGATGGGGCAATATCACCCATAGCATGCTGGATAGCCAGTAATGAATGCAGAACTTTCAGATTGAAAGCAATAGAGTTGGTTGTGAGAAGGCATGAGGATTGCACTATCATCTCACAAAAATATTTGTGTTTAAAAGAGTGGGCGTAGCCCTGTGAAGCCTTGCAGCTACTGCTTGTCAGTGGGTAATCAACTTGAAATGGCCAAGTCCACTGAATACTTTCTGTACCACTGCATTATGAGGCTAAACCTTTATATCTATAAACCTCATGCCTATTTTAGTCATGTCCTTATTTCTTGTAGAGTGGAAGTGGAGTGTGCATGTTATCATCCCACTGCAAGATCTGGATTGCTGTGGTAAAAGTGTAGTGCCAGTGTTCTCTGTGCTACATGTACCTTCTATGCACAGGATATGAAAGGAGCAGATTCCCATTATCTGTGGGCTTTATGCCTTTCTATCTAAGCAGGTTCTCTCTGTACCCTACTAGGTTTCCTAATGTTTGCGTATTTTATTCTTGTAAGTCCTGATACTACCTCACTTACCATTACTTTTAGGAAAGCAAAACTCTCTCTTTTGTAACCTGCTATGTCCTTTCACTTTTCCTCTCGCTCTTTTAATTTTGACTGGTCACCCACCATTTGCAGTCCAGGAGCCAAGAGCAGCACTGGAGATGGAGCTGAAGCTGCTGTTTCTCCAGAGTAGCAGTTCTGCAAGTTCTCCAGATTCTTGTCAGTTTGGCATCAAGAGTTGCTGACAGGGACATCTGCACCTGTGAAGGAAAGGAAAACAAGCCTTGTCTGGTTTAGAGCATGCGAAGATACAATGCACTGTTCAGTTGCTTATGGTCATCCTCCCCCTTTTTTCCAGGACATACTTTTGTGCATGGTGGTGGAAGTAAATGGGATAAACCCATTTTTTGCCCTAATTTATGTGGCAGATAGAGTGGGTCAAACCCTGAATGACACACACGTTCTCATCAAATTAGCACTGCTATTCACTTTCAGTGGCTAACTGAGTGTTGACAGCTTATGTGACTCTGCTTTACAGACAGACAGACAGACAGAGAAGGAGGGAGTGTTTGTACAACTGACCATGTCACGTGCTCTTGTTCTAGGTACTGAAATTTGCATCCCTGCCTTGAGTGTTTTAGGTGTCTTTTCTGACTGAAAGATTCTCTGTAGAGTGAGCTTTGTCCTAAAGCTGTAAATGAGTCTCCAAAATTAGAGACTAAAATTTGGGTTCTAAGCTGTGTGATGTATCTGAGCCAATAGTATATGGAGTTTTTTGGTTTTTATCATTTTATATGCCTGACCCTGTTCCTATGGGAAGTTGTGATTGACCAGCAGTTTGCATTGCTAACACTGTCACACTCTACATTAATGGTGACTTCTGCAGAGTGCCTAGACAGGGAGCATCTGAGCCCCCTTAGGTATAAGTTTAAAGACTGCAATGTGGGCTGAGCAGCTGAGAGTATGAGAGAGTCTGTTTCCTGCCCAAATTTATTTGAAGGTTCATTGTTAGCATTTTGATTCTTATAAAATCTGACTTTTTGAACTCAGACACCATTCCCCTGGTTATAGAGTTTGCTGCAAGGAGAAAGACTAGGCAGTTCTCCTCTAGGAAGCTGGGATCCTGCCATGGTGCATTTCTGTGTCTGCAACTGACCACATGGCAGGAACAGGGGCAAATTGGTCTTGGTAGAGTTTTGTTCTTTCTAAGAAGCAATTTTTTTGGTTGTACCATTGAAGCAGTTCTGTCAGTTACTATGATGCACATAGTAGGTCAGCACATGTTTGTCTTCTACTGAGACAGCAGCAGAGATTTCCACTCTGTTTTCTGTTATTTCCTATGGCCAGGCCTGTATATAAACTGACTATTTTTATGTAACTTTCACACTTTGTTTCTCTTTGCAAGCCTGAAAGTCACATTTTCTACTGTATTCTAGTCCCTCCAGGCTTCCTGTTTTCTCTGACTACCTTTGAATTTTATTTTCTTTCTTGGTCAGCAGACCTTAGCAGACTGACCTCAGTGCATGTTCTGTGTATTGCATACAATACAAAGGCCTCTGTATTTGTTAAACTAAACAAGTTCTCTATTAGCAAGACTATTTTGCAGCATTGCAACTAGCTGGCTTTCTTCACACACATACAGACTCATTCCTGCATCAAACTAATAGGTGCATGGTGCTGGAAGTATTCACCAAGCCATGACATATACATGTTCTAGAACCACTGTAATAACCTGAATGTCCACCTTAAAGCAGGCAGCTTTTCTGGAGCTGTTCCAGAGTCTGATGGGTACAATGGTTAAAAATCTTATTTCTAGCCATGGCTAGAACATGAACAATAACCATTTTTTGGAATGTCCTCGCTTCCCTCAGCCTCATCTTCCAGTGTATTTGTAAAAGGTGATGTATTCTCTTTCATAAGTTCTCTCTTCTAGCCACACCTTGCATCAGATCTGGTTTGAACTCACCTTTCTTGAAGAAACTTAACAACACTATAGGCAGAATTCCAAGTGAGATCTCTTCAATACTCTAGTGTCACTCATGTTTCCAAATATCTCCAGGAGATCCTATTAATACATCTCTAAATTGAGTCTTCTCTTCTGAAAAATCCACTGTTCCCTCCATATTTCATCTGCATGGCTTCTATTGCTTGTGTATAATCCTCTGAGGTCATACTTAAGAGTAATAATAAGTTGGGATTCATTTGACTGTCTCTGTCTCAAGACTTTCATAGAGATGAGGGTTACTTCTGCTTTCCTTTGGATGGCATGAGATCTGCTTAATTTCATGTCTCTTCATATAAGCAGCTAATGGTCATTTTTAAGAGAAAGATCTAAGTGTATCCTTACTTTTATCCTTTGAAGTTGATTGACTAGAAAATGAAGTATAGTTGCAGTAAAGGTGCTAAAGCTGTGCAGATTTGTTAAAATAATAAATAATGAAAGACAATAAATAATCACTGAGGGGAAAACAAATTACATTGCTCACAGTACATATAATCCAATGTATTTCACAACTGTCAGTAATAGATGTCAACTTTTATTAAGCAACATACACAACATGGTTCTTTAAATCCTAGGTGTGCAACTGAGAAACACGTGCTTCTTTGTTATTTTACTTCAGAGATCTATATGTGCTCAAAATGCGTCTCATTAAATCACTATTGGTGAATTGCAACTCCCCAAGCAATGTTTCTGTTCTTAAACAAGAATTACCTTGGTGAGTTTTCGGCATTAATAACTACTGGATAAAAATCTACTCTTGCACTATTTCTTTATGATTTCTGAAAGAGTTATACTTTCCTGACTTACCATTACATCCATTTGTATTTCTATTGTAGTCCAAAAGAGACTGAAAATTGCCATAAAACAGCAGCTAAGAAAGCTTTAAATGAGGAACTTCTGAGGAGCATTCAAGAGTCTGAGAGGGAGATTAATCAGTGGAGCCATAGTCTGCCATCTGTGACACATGGAAGCCAACTCGGCATGGCCACTACGGAGGTGGGTCCTGGATCTGCTTTGTACCAGAAGGAAGGAGGGGTGGAACAATGTTACAGGACAGAGTGGTAAAAGAAACCCCTCCTTACCCTTCAAGTTGCCCTCTAAGATACCCTGACAGAACAGGTACAAGGCCCTTGTACAAAGTCTTGCCAAGGTCAGAGAGATCAACCTCTTGCAACAAAACTTGCATTAAGACATGCATCAGGAAGAAACAATGGTGAGTTATGGGCACTGGTGACTCCCTCTGTATGGAATGGAAGCACTCATTTGCAGACCAGACCCTCTTTTCAGAGAAGTTTGCTGCTTCCCTGGGGCCCAAATTAGGGATGTCACCACAAAACTGAACAGCCTAATACAACCTTCATACTATTATTCATTCCTGCTCTTTCACATGCATACAAATGGTGTCGCGATAAAAAGAGCCCTGGAAAGAATGCTAAAAAATTCCAGAGCACAGGTAATGTTTTCCTCAGTCCTCCCAGTAATGGAAGGAGACTTTGGAAGAAACAGGTGAGCCCAGAATATCAATAGCTGACTCCAGGACTATGGCCTTCACCATAACTTTGGGTTTTAAACCATGGAAGAACATTCAAGAGGCAAGGTATGCTGGGGCCTGGTGGGATCCACCTGTCCTGATGGGGAGATGTGCCTTTGGGCATAAGCTGGGGGGATGGATCAAGAGAGCTTTAAAGTAGAATTGATGGGGGGAAGGAAATAACAACGGGATTACAGCAGGGAAGGTGAAGGTTGGCATGGCATCATCTGAGGATGGCAATGCTAGTGGTAACAGTCCATGGGAATACCCTGGAAATCTTGTTTTCAGGGCTTAGGAGCCCACAAGTAATGGTCAGTCTTTAAGAACCACATTTTGGAAACACAGGAAAAAGAAAAAGAAAAAAGGAAAAAGAAATTGTGTGATCCTGGAAGTGGGGTCAGGCTTTGCAGGAACAGTATAGGACTGTGATTTGTGTAAGCAGGGAGAAGACACAAAAGGCCAAAGCTCACTTAGAGTTGAAAATGGCCCGTTCAGATGACCAGAAAGGCTTTTTCAAGTACATTGATTACAAGAGGAGGTCTAAAGAAAACGTTGGACCAATGCTTGTTGAAGATTGTCATCTGATTAATAAGGATGAAGAAAAAGCAGAGGCATTCAATGCCTTTTTTCCTTGGTATTTAAGAATACTGATAGACCTTGGGCTGCCTGAGTTAGAGGAGCATGAGTTCCGCGAGTGTGGAATCGGTGACTTTCCATTTGTGGACACTGAAATTGTAGGGGACCAGATGTATCAGCTTACTAACCATGGTCTTCTAACCATGAATTCCATAGAGTCTGAAAAGATTCATCCTGGAGTACTGAAGGAGCTAATGGATGTTATAGCAAGACCCCTCTTGGTCTGCCAAAAGTCTTGAGAGTCTGGGGAGTTTGACTGGAACCCAGCTGATGTTATTTCCATAAAAAGGGCCTGAGAGAAGGCCCAGGGAACTACAGACCTGTTAGTCTAACATCAGTTCTTAAAAAAATTATGGAGAACATTATACTATGTACTCCTGAAAGCATTTAAAGAATAATGCAATCATCAGGCAGATCGCCCACCTAGTGGATTAAGGGAAGGCCATGGATGTATCTTTTCTGGATTATAGTAAGGCTTTTGACATGGGTTCACAGTGCCCTGGCTGAAGAACCGGCTGAAGGGCAGACCTCAAAGGGTTGTACTGAATGGCTGCAGGCGATCACCAGGGCTGTTCCACAGAGTTCAATTCTAGTTCCAGTTCTGTTCAATATATTTATCAACGATCGGGATGCAGGAGTGGAATGTACCACTAGCAGGTTTGCTGATGATAGGTGCTGTTGACACCCTAGAGGTAAAAGAGGCCTTGTAGAGGAATCTAGATAGATTGGAGCATTGAGCTATGATTACCAGGATGAAATTTAACAAGTCACATTGATGGATTCTGCACCTAGCATGGCATAGTAATGCCAGGCACAAGTCTAAATTAAGAAAGGAGTGGTTGGAGATCACCCCTGCAGAAAGCAATCTGGGGGTGCTGGCTGCCAGCAGGCTCACTGTGAGTCAGCAGTGTGCCCAGGCAGCCAGGAAGGCAAACTGCATCCTGGGGTTTGTGCATCAAACACAACATCACTGAAGGCAACAAAGCTGGTGAAAGTGCTGGAAGGAATGTCCTCTGAGGAGCGGCTGAGGACTTTGGGCTTGTCTACTTTGGAGAAAAGGAGGCTAAGAGGCCTCATTGCTTTCTACAGCTTCCTGAGGAGGGGAAGCAGACGGGGAGGTGCTGAGCTCTGGTCTCTGGTATCCAGTGACAGGACGTTTGGGAATGGTTCAAAGCTGTGCCAGGGGAGGTTTAGATTGTACAGGCTTCCTAGAGGGATGGTTGATGCCCCCAGCCTGTCAGTGTTTAAGAGGGTTTGGGACAATCCCTAATAACATGCTTTAACTTGGTCAGCCCTGAATTGGTCAGGCAGTTGGATGAGGTGACCATTTTAAGTCCCTTCCAACTGAAACAGTCTAGTCTACTCTACTCTGTATACTAGTGCTGAGTTGACAAATCAGTTCTGTGAAGCCCTTTTTTACCTTCAGCCTTGGAAAGGCCAAGCATAATTTTGGATAAAAGTGGCATCTCCTGGAACTACTTAATTTGTAAAAATTATTAGTGAGCCTGATGTTTATAACAGCTGGCTTTTGTAACATTGACATCGGGTGTCAGATTATTTTGTTGGCACAATTTGAGGTAGGAGTAAATAAAGTGTATTAGGTGCTTTATTACAAATTGTAACTTATAATCAAAACCTCTGCTACTAGATATATCATATGGAGAAGCAGTATTGAGCACAGCAGCACAGGTCAGGACTAGCCAATATAAGATGCTTTAAATCGTGCACCTTCAAAGCATAGGTGTCCCTCTTTGTACTCCATAGCTCAGTTGGTTAGAGCACGGTGCTAATAACACCAAGGTTGTGGGTTTGATCCCCATATGGGCCATTCACTTAAAGAGTTGGACTTGATCCATGTGGGTCCCTTACAACACAGAATATACTATAAAACCTGTGAATTGCTACGTAAAAGAACATAAAAGTACTGAGTTTGTACTTTTGCCTTTTAGAAGTGGCAGCTGCAAAGCATGGGACCAGACCTCACTGCAGAGCCTGCAGCCACAAGGGTTGATTTAAGGTTCTCCAGGAAAGCAGAAATCAGAAATGAGTAGAAGACTGCAACCCTTGTTTGGGAAAGGAGCAATGCTTAATGAGTGGCTGGCCAAAAGGTAGGCTTTTCTCTTAACACCGTAGATTTTTCATTTTCCTAGATATGATGAAGAGAAACGTATAAGAATTAAGAATAGTGTGAAAGCCACAAAGTAGTCCAGCCTACATGTCCAAGTTGAGCATCAGAACCCATTTTGGCACTCAGGTTCCTTAGTTTTTATCACCTTTTGTGAATATTTTTATTTTATTGTCACTGATACTCTTGGTAGAGTAACATTAAAAAGAAAAAGGGGGGGAGGAAGCCAATCTTCCTAGTATTACAAATGCAGTTACAAAATACACTGATGTTTTTAGGTTACTGATAGCATCTGGTCACCAGGAGCATAACGTGGTAGCTCACATGAAATCAGGATATGTAACCACAGTGTGTAGTTCATGAAATGCTATGTCTTTCAGCTTGCAGAAATTGCAACTGGCCTAATAACCAAATGCAATGTTTTAATCAAATCACATGATGGTCTCCTACATGAGCATTTTCAGAACCCTATAAAACTCTGCAGCCGAGGTGTGAGTGCTGTACTTCTGGATACAGTTCTTAAAAAAGGCAGGCTTTTCTGTCAGCAAGGTTGTGGGCCTCCATGTATTGAAAGTGCTACAACTTCTGTCATGGGCATGCCAACCTGTGTGTTTTAAATCACTGGGATTAATGAGGTGTGTCTTCCTTATATTTCTGTCAAATTCTGTGTGTCACATCTAACACATGATGTTTCTATCTGCCTTCGGGGATGCTGTGTGCCTCAGTCCTGCCCTTGTTTGGGTGCGAGCTCCTCCCCTGGAGTCTAGAAAAGACTTAAAAGCAGATGGTTGTGCAGCTTCTTGCTGTGCACGGCAGAGAGCAGAGAAGGGGATCCACCCTCGGGCTGTCATTTCCTGGCACTGGTGGTCTTCCCAACTGTTCAGGTATTTGTATCTAAAATAAGCTGGATGGTGATGGGATAAATCTGAATGAGTATAAAGTGGGAAAGGTTCTCAGTGACTGGGGATGTATCTTTTAATAATCTAAGGACTTTGACTAACTGTGCTTCTTTATCATGCTTGAAATTTTTATATTGCCTTTGGAATAGGTTGAGAAGAGATTCTTCTTTTGCTATTTGACTGTCAAGTTAAAACATTGGCTTCAGAAATGTTTGAGGTTTTGTGCCTTTTGGTGGAAGAAGTGACTGTGTAAATGGAACTAATTGTACTGAAGCTCACTGAATCCTTCAGAGGAATTATGTCTTCTGCAGCACTGGTTCCACTATCCTTCAGCTACTTTTAAGCTCACATTGTCTGTCCCGTGATTTTTGATACACTTTTTTTTCTTTTGCTTGCTCTTCTTATTGTTTCTTTGAAGTGATTCTTAACAAATGTTGACAAACTTTTCAGTTTAAATGCGTGGAAATCAAGCAACTGCCACAGCAACATTTGTATCAGTTTTCTTCTGCCTTGCTTATGTTATGTAGTTTTAAGGTCTGAATTGCTGCTTATTCTGATCTGGTTGCATTTCTGAAACTTTTTGTAGAGAGAAAAAAGGCCGTGTAGGCACATGTGTATTTTATGGTGAATCAGCCTTTGCACGTACTAAGCTGCCTTCAAGGCAAGAGATAACACCCTTAATGATTTGCAGCATTTCAGAAATGGAATTTTGCTACTTGTTATCCTCTAATTACTATTTTTTCAATCTTTTTAACAAGAACATGGGAGTTTATCCTAATGGTTGCATTTTATAAAAATTATTTATCACTATATTTCTAATGAATTTATCTCCACCAGGTATTTCTGTCGCACATGCTGTTCCCAGGTTCTTTCAACAGAACATGAAAATTGGGAAAGAAGTATAGAAGTGGTTGAGAATTGCTTTTTTCTTCAGACAGTAAAGACAGTATCTGATGTTGGAGACAATGAACTTGGCATCTTCAATGCTATTCTTCCTTCTCGGGAAGAAGGAAGGAGTACTTATAAATCTTGCTTCAGCTGTTACTTTTATGAGTCACTAAATGAAAATACTAAAGCTGCTGTGATAAAGCTGAATGTGGCTCTGGTCACTCCACCATCTTAAAAGAATAACAAAACTAGTAGTCCAGAGATGGGCAGTGATGATGGTCATTAGTGCCATATGAGGAATACCTAAGCAAGCCAGGTCTTTTCATTCAGGAAGAAGAGCTGAGGGAGGGCAGAGACAGTATGACAGAAAACCTTAAAACTGCTCAGTGGCAAACCCTGAGGGATGCACTATTCACTCTCTTTACTATTCTACCCTGTGTCCATCAAATGAATTTGCAGAAGTCAGATTAAAAACAAAAAAAGGACGTCACTCTTTATGCATCAGATAGTAGAGCTGTGCAACTCATTGCAAGAGGATGTTGTAGATGCCACCTGTTCACAGATAGATGAACATTCATAGATGTTTCCTGTATATAAAGAAACTACATCCTGCTGTTCCCTAGACATCTATTTTACCACTGTGGTAGAGAGAATATTGAACTAGGTGGTCCTTTTATTTTCTAGGTCTTTAGATAGACCTTATATTTTTGTGTATATTCTAAAAGCCTATTTTTTTAAATGGTCATCCTGAAATATCAATCTATTTTACTGCTTGTAATGTTTGTTGTGGTTAGTGACTGAGAAAAAATTAACCAAGGGTATTGCTCAATACTATTCCACCATTGTTTGTAAAAGCAGAACTGGTTTACACTGTTGCAGGAAGATTACCTCATATCTAACAAATTGTTGTTGTAACACAAGCAGTTCTGATGACAGAAAATATTGCAGGCTGTTGTTTCAATTTAGATTTAATTCAATCTAATTTTCGTATACCTGAAGAGTCCTGTTCTAGAATGAAATGTTATTTCCTTGTTTGTTTTAGTTTTTAGGAATGGAGAAGCTGATTGTTTGTGTGCACAAAAGGCAAAATGCTCTCTGTAGGCTGATTTGCTTTCCGTGGGCTGGAGGTGGAACTTCTCTACTTGCTCAGTGGGGCAAACGGTTAAGCAACTCAATTGAAGGTTTGTCATTTTTGTAGTTAAAGCACAAGTCTGAAATACACAGTAGCCCAATTTTCTGAATGGAATATAATATTCTTGAGATAACTGGAATCTTTATCCAATGGGTCTTCTCCGGAAAGGATGGAACTAGCATTCATTAGGAACTAGCATTTCCATCAGGGTGCATTTTCTGTACCACTTTGCATCAAATTATATTTGACTAGGTTTAAAGGTTATATCCTCAGAGCTAAGTTCCACAAGACTATAGTATGGTTGCCTGCTTCAGAAACTATTGGTATGATTCACAAACACAATACACTGCGTATTGCTAATATGCCAGGGTAACGGTGAAGATATGAGAACCATTTTTAATGTTGAGAGGCTGCACAGAGTATCTGTTATCCACTGTTTGCACTTCTTGTATCAAAACTGAAGTTCAAACTATGAATTTATAACGGTGAAATGACATTAAGTTACACAACAAAGTATTTCTCATTGCTCTCAAGCTGTATCAGCACTAAAAAAGATCCATTGCTTGAACTATTTGAAGAGGAACCAAAGGCCATTTTCCAGACCTTCCACAAAGAAAAAATAATTTTATATTTACGAGCATTGCCATTGCAGTTGTACCAGTCCTCTAAATGCTCATATGCTTTCTGGTAAGCAGTTGCACAAGTCACATTAAATTTTTAAATTTTCCTTGAAACGGAAAAAAAAAAAAAAGAAAGAAATAAAAGAGGTTTTTTCTGCTGGAACTACCTCCAACAAAGTTACTAAGAAAATAGCCTAGGAGCAACTGCAGACACAGATTAATAAAATCAGGGTGTAGCATGGTTTCTCAGAGATGGTTTCTGCAGAAAGAAAGTACAGAAGATGCAGACATTTCTGTACTGCTAGTATCGTATTAGGTAATGGTTTATTCTGTCTATTCTAAAATACGTTGTGTCTGACCCATGACTTCCACATGAGTTTAGCAGTATGCAGTATATCAAGGAGAGTTCAGAAAATCGACATTTTTTTCTGATCTATTCATTCCTTACTTTCATTAAACAGCAAGAGGAAAATCCTCAATTTTGAAAGGAATATAATAAAAGTATGTAAAATGTCCTTCCAGATAAATGTAAGTAAATATAAATGTCCATCAATTTGTACTATGATTACACATTTTACTATGTGTAATGCTCAAGAGCCGACAAAGAAGAAAACAGGGATTGTACAATGCTAATGTAGTTTAACTTTATAATGCTGCCCTTGGAAGAAAGTATTTTACACACCCCCTAACTTACTATTATTGAAATGAGTGAATTTGTGGTTGTTGTTATCCTAATAGTAATAAAGTTGCTTTCAAACCTCAGCTGTAATCAAGACCTTGTGGATTCTGAGCCAAGGCACTTAACAATCAGATCAACTGGAGAATAAATCAGATCAATTTGTGAGTAAAGGAAGGAATGGAAACCTAATCTCTCATATGATTAAAACAGAGTAGTAGCAATAACAAATACATGGTATCAACTGTAAGAAGGATTAATTTAAATAATCTGTATATTCTGCATAATAATTAAAAAACTGAATTAAAATTATTTTACTCTATCTATTTGAAATAACTATAATCCTTTTCTCTCACTTCCTCCACCTCTTCTGCAGTGTTCTGTGTAAGGTATCCTGGAAGAGAAACTCGTCTTAATGAACCTTTTGCAAAAGACATGACAAGCATGGTTAATGAAGTTACAAGTGTTTTGTTAAAAGAACTTCAAGAAAAACCATTTGCATTTTTTGGTCACAGGTAAAAATATATACATTTTTAGATAGCTCGGTGAAGGAGCTTCTATCTCTGAACTCGTTGAGTAGACAGTTACTTGTTTTTATATGCAAAAATTTTAGGAAAATACGCTTGTGCAAAGATCTTTTGTCAAGTCATCCTAAAACATGCTGTTGCTCTAAAAGACTCTGGTTATTTATTTATTGCTTCAGGCACAACATCTGAATATATTGTGTTTCTGATAAATTATAATTTATTATGGCATTTATTTTTAATATTTGTGTCAGTTCTTGATCTATATGAATGCAGGGGGTGAACCATTTGTGAAACACAGATTTTGAAGATTGCTTAGTCCAAAGTATTCAAAATAACTGTTCTTATTGCAAATTAAGGAGACTACTAAAAGAAAGATTAAGAAAAGGTTTGATTTGTAAAACTAGACTGTGTAGGAATACACTTCATGTCAGTTAACGAATATCATTATAATTTATATGTCATATATGGCTTCAGTAACTGTTCAAGATATCCAGTTAGCACTGAAATTCAAACTATGTTTAAATTTTCCAGGTTTTATGTATGTTTTTGCTTACTTTGCTTTAATTTCCCTTTTCACTGCAGTTTTGGAGCTTACCTGAGTTTTGCAGTGGCACTACATTTGAAAGAAAAGTATGGACTAGAGCCGGTCCATCTTTTTGTGTCAGGGGCACATGCCCCAAATGTAAGTTGCAGAATCATTAACAATATGAAACAAAACAGTACATTTTCTATCAAGAGTAAAAATAACATTTGACAGTATGGCATGAGAATTACTTTTAATACAAAATGAGCATTGCTTCAGAATCTATGGAGAAAAGTTTTTTCTTAGAGGAAATTAAATATGAGGTGGATGCAGAACTTTGCACTACACGATATTCACTGCTGCTAGCTGACCTTAGCCTCAGGAGAACAATCTCCTTGAGCTAATGCTCCCTTTTTTGAATACTGTGTTAATTACTATGGCCTTTGGCTTAACATTAAAAAAGTAATCAAACCAAAATACCAAGTGGCTCTCTCTTCTCTGTAACATGTGAAATAACTGCCTTAACCTAGTCTTTCATAAACCACCTGCATCAGCCTTCAGTACATTTGTCCATTTATTTCTTTCCCTCATTCTTTGTTGGATTTTTAATCAGTTTCTTCTCAGGTTCTGCTGGTTCTGCTAGTCTTTCTCAGGAAAACAGCAGTGAAGTGGCTTTTTCCCAGTCCTCCTGTCCTCAGTCAGCATTTGCTATTTCCGTTCTTCTGTTTCTGAAGCTTCTTAGCAATCCTTAGTATGAGCTAGTGATTCATGGAAGCAATTGTTATTCCTGCAAATTTCCATAATCAGTTGGTCTCTTCAGTCCTACATTAGTCAGGTTTATGTCCACTGCTAGGCTTTTCTTTCTCTTAAACAGATTATTTTATTAGGTGCATTTCAATAGTAAGAGTAAAACTTGAACAAAATTGAATTAATGGTTATTTGTCTGTGGAAGTTTCAGACATGGAAGATACTTGGCTCAGTCATAATTTACTAACCCTTTTCAAGAAGTGTTCTCTTTGGATGTTAAATTAATCAGCCATTGTATTTTGGAGATGAAGAATTATTGTACTTTTTACTAAAATGATTTTTAATGAAAAGATAATTTAAAGTATATTATATACAACACCTCATTTGTTTTATCTGGTACTGACAGTCTGAAGCAATTCTTCCAATCAAAAGCATTTCTGTATCTGATGCAAAAGATGAAGAAGTTTTTGAATATCTACAAACTGTAGGAGGAACTCCTTCTGTGCTTCTGCATAACGAAGACGTTAGGAAAAATCTGCTGCTTACTTTTAAAGAAGACTTTAGAGTGTTTCAGACATTTTCGTAAGTTTTACAATTTTGTATTACATTTGTATTTTACATTTTTACTTCTGTCTGATCATGTCAGGTTTTTTCTTTTCATATTTTGTTCTCATTTCTGTTATAAAAAGATTACGAAACAGTAAACAGTTCTCTCCTTTGTGTGTTTATCTATTTGTTTTCTAGTATTTAAGCCCTAGATGAAAACACTGCTTACTGTATCAATCACTGCAGCAGCAAACTGTTACTGCAGTAGTGAACGTGTCATGGTAGAATTACAGTTATACTGAGGATCCACAGTTAACAGCCACTAAAAGGGCATATTCTCTCATCTTTTATTGTTTTCTGAGGCTACTAATCTCAGCTGATCATGCTTCAGGATCACTGCATTCAGCCTACTGATCCAAGATCCCCTAATCTAACCAGAAGCAAAGAGTCCCTGTGTTCTTGGCACCTTGAGAGCAACCAGCTTCTTCTGTCCTAACTGCTGTCCCCACTGGATGTTACATGACAGCCAACGTGGCTGAGTTGTTAAGGTTTCTCACCTTGGCAAAGACAACGATACTCTTGGATGTGGGACCCATTTTGGTCTTAGGAACCTGACACTGAAAGGCCCTGAAACATTAGAACTTGAATATAAGCAGGTAACATGATTGTTTATGGTAGGTGAGAATTTTTATTGCAGGCTGAAGCTCTTTTTCTCCCCTAACTATCAGGTCATTCTTTCTTTACAATTTTAGACCTAATTGCAGTAGGGCAAGGAGCTAAGAACCTTCCAGATGTGGTAATTTCTTCTGATGTTCTGCATAATCTAATTCCTGAAGTTTGTTAGATTTTGGACGAGAATGAAAAAGTTATTTTGTATGTGAAAGCAAATTCCAAATATGGGTATCTTATTGAATGTTTTAGGACTACTTTTTATGTTCACAGTTTTGAGAAGGCAGAAATGGATATCCCCTTCTCTTGTGATATTACCTGCTTTAATGGGGGTGATGATAAACCATATGATTTACAAGGTACTTTTCTTAAATGGTTTTCCTCTTATACTTACACATTTTCCTGTTGAATTGCATCTTCTAGAGTCTATCTCCTTCTTAAATGAAACAAACCAACAGAGCAGTCTCAATGTTGATATAAGATTTAAAATAATTGTTAAATAATAATTTTGAAATAGTTATGTAAAATTGTCACAATCGTTGACATTTTTTTGACATATCTTTTTCAGGTTGGCAAGAACTAACAAGCGGAGATACATCCTTTTATGAGCTTCCTGGAGGTCACTTTTATCTGCTAGAACCCTCTAATGAAATTTTCTTGACAAAACACATAACAAGATGCATAGAAAATGCCGGTCTGTGACTATTTCCCTCAATTTTAATAGCAGAAGATGTAATATTAGTCCACAGCACTTCATAAGTCATTATTTCTGCATGCAGTTATGCCTGAGTTGTTCTGTTTGTCCTCTGTAATCCTTTAAAAGGGGAGTTTCATGGGTTTTTCTGAAAATAAACATTGGCTTTGTCTTAAAAAAACAGGTTTCATCTTTTCCCTCTTCTCATCTTGCATGTGCACAAACTCTTCACTTCATTCCATAACCTCATTTGAAAAAAATGACAGCTATGTTATTTTACTTCCAGAGCTTCTGTTTGCCTGCTTCTGTAAAAATGCTAAATATAATTTAATACCCACAAAAATCCACAATTCTTACAGAAAGCTTAATTTATTAGGTTCAAATTTATTTAGAATAAGATACAATCTAAAAATAGAGTATGTATATAAATACCCTTTACAGTCAGCTTATGCTTAAAAGATATTAGTCAGACTACACAGTAAGGAGTTAGTATTGCAGTGTTCTCAACAGAGTTAGTTCATTAGCTACTGAAGAGTTAATTATTAGTGGGAATTACTTTGAATATTCTAGATCCCATATTTTTCTACCATTGCTTTTGCTTTAGAGATATAGGCGTTCATGGCATCCTCCTTTGATAAACCTGTAAAGGAAAGTAGGAATCATTATCTTTCCTCATTTGTCCTCTAAACATGACTACATGATGTAAATTTAATTGGTTTAACACCTTTTTTCAGGTTCCATGCCTCCCATTTTGCTTTGCCTTTCAAATCTAGCATTCCTGGACATTCTGCCAAAATAAATGCATACGTTTGATTATCATGCCGATTTACATAACATCAGCTTGATTTCATCAAGGTATGGGAGTAAATGTGAAGCATATGTAAAAATACCAATATTAATATCTCCAACGGTAGCCTGTTTGTAGAATCCATATAGTTCCTTCAGTTCTTCATCAGTTGGTCTTGTTTTTAATTTTTTTACATCTTCTGCAGCACCGTCAAAGTCAGCCTGATGAAAGAACAGAAAGTGTTGGTTTTCCTCTCAAGGGGCGTGCTTAAAACATGAGGCACAGGGCACACAGTAGTATCATTACATATTCTCAATCACTCGCTTGGGTTTAGTGGTAAGTCGAGGTGTTTATCCATGAAAGAAGCTTAATGAAACTGTACTTCGTTAGAAGAGGAACTAGGATTACATAGCTGATAGGGTCTGTACTTCTAAGATAAATAGTTTTACATCTAAACACTTGGAACCATTACAGACTGTCTAGTGTCAGAATAGCTACAGATATATTCATGCAGGCAGCCTCCACATTTTATGTAGTGCGTGTCTTTCACAGTCACACTGTGGGTATGAAGGTGTTCATTGAACTTTACACCCCAGCAGTAATCTCTGCTTCCATAGTGTTGATTCGAGTGGTGGAGCTTGAAAACCCTCTGAGGGGCACTGCCCACTTCACCCTTCGTTTCCACAGCTCTGCTGACAGCAGAGTAGGTGATCAACAGCTGGCACAGAGACACCTCACGGGGATGAGCAGTGCTACTGCCAGGACCACCTTCCACACCCAGCTCTCAAACACAGTGGAGCACACGAGTGCACTGTAAATGTACTCCTTTCATCATCATGCATCACACATTCACATCAACTTGAGGCCATACAGTAAGTCTTGGGCTAGACTTTGGCATTCTGTCTCATGCTCAGGACATTTCAGAGAGATAGATTTCATACAGTGACCACTGACCCGTCAGGTCACTGCACTACCCCAACACAAAAAGGTATAGGTACTTTCATATGCTATATGCTGGTTTCAATAATTAGTTTAGCTTTTAAGTTGGATCTGCATTTGCAGAAGCACACTATATCCTGCAAGATGTGCTATGGCACATGCACGCACACATATATATATAAAATGTAAAAAAAAATCTTAAAACTTGGGTCTTAAAATCAGCAACATATTCAACATTGGTTTCAGCATGTATGCTGTGGCTCTGTTTAAATCATTGAGATCATAGTATTACCTCAGAAGTCTGTACTGTGTTTCTTTAGACCACCTTTTCCCTTAGTTATAGGAAAGACCTTTTTTTTTTTTTAAAAAATAAGAAAACCTAATGCACGTTTGTCTCCTTAACTGATGCCTTTCTCCTTGGCAATGGACTGTGCTGGGTGGATCAGGTGATAGAAATAAGCAAGTATGAATGAGAGCTGGACTCACTATAGCATTCTTTATTTAAACAGAGAAAAAGTACAAGAGAAAGGCTATTTCTGGTTTTAAATCTAAGAAGAAAAAATTGGAAATAATTTAGTTAGAGAGTGATGCTCATGGATCTTTCTTCACAGAAAGGCCCCTTCATGGAATCATGAAACTACGTATTCATTGATGTAAGGAGACATCAGCTGGTGGCTGCATTAAGGCAGGAGTAGCAGGTGAAATAGGGTAAGGGCAGGTAGCTGAGTGCACTGCAGCTTCCTGCACAGAAAACTGGCCACTCTCCTACTAAATGAGTCACCTCTGTCTCCTGAGATGGAATTCACTTTTTTTTTTTTTTAATTTTGGTATGGAAATTTAGTTTGGCTAGTGAGGTTCCCCAGACACAAACTTCTGAGGAATTTCTAATTTTTTTGCAAAATTTTCAACTGCCATTTGAAACCCACCAAGGGAAAGCACAAGTCTCCTAAGAATAAAAGTGCATGCCTCAGGAGAATGTACATCTGTAACACCAGAGTTATGACAAGGAGCAGCAGGCAGAGAGGTACATTTAAAAGGGATGTTTTTAAAAAAACGTGATGTACGATTAAAAGGGTGTTCTAGCAAAGGAATGCTCCCTGCAAAACGGCAATTAAAAATAAATCTTGAATCTTCTTTAAACTGCAGCTATGAATTCACAGAACATTACACGGGAAGGGTTCATGATGATAATACCTATCTCTAGCTGTCAGTTTGTAGCACCCTTAAAAATGCGGTGGAAGGAAAGGACAAAAATCCTGCAGCAATGAGGATGCTTTTTAACAAATAATCTTCCAACTCAGTGAGAACCAGTGTTTGCATAACTGACAAGCAGGAGTCTCTGGGAGATTCTCACCAAGGCCTCCCAGAACCAAATGCCCAGTAGTGGAGGCAGGAATACAGAGAACAGCTGGTGTGTTAGAACTGATAAAGACTGTTTTAAGAAATGCTGCTGTTCTATTTTGAATGTAACAATCCTTCTGAGAATTAGCAAGATTCCAAGTGCAATTTGTCTGTTTATAACTCTGAAACTTGGTCATTCTATACAGTATACTATTTGACAGAGCTTCTGGAATAAATTCTACACCAAATTACTTCCAAATTATATTCTTAAATCTAAAACTTTGTAGACTGAAAACATGTAACTAGTTATGCAGTTTGTTCCTGTTTTAATAAAAATAATTCTCAATATTACTAGAATGCAACTATACCACAGAATCACTGAAAAACATGAAGCTTTAAGTCCAACTTTTTGTGGCTGATTTCTTTTAAGAAGTAAACACTGGATTTTTTTTTTTTTTAACCAACCGAGTATTTGGGAGCACTGCAAGACAAATACCAAAAGGCTCAGGATACGTTTATATGTTTTGTATATATGTTATATATAATTTAGATAAACAAAAATCGTGTGCCCTAGACTACATATAAAAGTTGAGTCAATAATGTTGAAATGACCTTACAGCATTCGCTTCTCAGCTTTTTTTTTTTTGTAATATTAATATTTGCTTTCATGAAAGCCTTGCAATCTTTATTTTTCATCTTATGCTGTATTGTCTCTTGTTCTCCTTCTGCAGAGTAACTGTACCTGGAATTCCTACAACTACCTGAAATACTTCAGCAAGCTCAGATGTTAAGCTCATTTTTAATTTTTCACCAAAAATTGACAAGGGCCATAGAAAGTAAGTAAGTTACATTTTCCTCCCTTTCAAAAGCAAAATCAGAAAGGTGAACCCACATGTTTGAGGCCAGCAAGTCACAACACCACAGGGAGAGAATTCGGAGTTTGGGGCAAAAGTGCCTTGCCCTGTGCCTTAGGCGCAGTGGGGGTGCCTTCAGCCTGGGAGCAGGGATGGGACATCTCTATAAGCAGAATAGCAGTCTGAACTCCATACCTGTGAGATTGCTCGTATGACTCTTTATTTCACTATGTTCCGTGACAAACAGGTGGCTTATCCCTCCATGGAAATAAGCCTGTTCCACTTTGTGTTTATCTCAGGGCAGAAGCAAGGACATAGGCACATACTGCAGAGGAACTCACATGCTCTGAATTTACATCCCAGCCTACCCCTGACTCACTCCAGTCATGCCACGCTGCTGCACAGTGTTTCAGACACTGCAGCATTAGGATATGAAGGAGTTCTGTACTCAGGTAGCAAGACTGTAGTCTAATTACAGAAAAAGACGTCCTCCTATGCACTGACAACAGTATGACAATAAATGTGATGACTCACCACACTTCAGATTTTTTTAATTGGTAAAATTTTATTAAAATGAATATTTCATCTTAAGCCAAATACCAGTAATGTGACATTCTTGCTGTACCTATCACTGACTCCTCATCGCAAACATCTCTTAATATTATCCATACACATGCAAACAAAAGCAGCATTCATGGTCTTTAACTGTAAGATTAAGAAGTGGTATCAGTAATAAAACATAACTGGGTTGCCACACGTTATTTAAAGTTTAAATAAGTTACTACTGCATGGGAGCCTCTGGCAGCATTGACATACAAGGACCATTCAAGTCAGCGGAAATCTTCCACATGTCTTGAATTGTTTTCTGATCCAAACTTCCATCCTGGCTTTGGCTGGGATAGAGTTCATTTTTCTTCCTAGTAGCTGGTACAGTGCTGTGTTTTGGATTCGGTACGAGAATAGTGCTGATAACACACTGATGTTTCAGTTGTTGCTGGGCAGTCCTTACACTGAGCCAAGGACTTTCAGTGTCTCATGCTCTGACAGTGAGGAGGGGCACAAGAAGCTGGGGAGGAGCAGAGTCAGGACAGCTGACCCAAACTAGCCAAAGGGATATTCCACACCACAGAACATCATGCCCAGTATATAAACTGGGGGGATTGGCCAGGAGGGGCTGACTGCAGCTCAGAGATGGGCTTGGCACTGATCAGCGGGTGGTGAGCAATTGTGTTGTGCATCCCTTGTTTCTCTTGGGTTTTATTGTGCATGCTCTCTCTCTTATTACTGTTAACAAATTTTATATATTATATATAAATT